AAAAGCCTGGCGTTCTCTTGTTTCAATAGATCTAGTTCGGATTTAGTATTTCCCATTGTTTTTTATATGATACGGATTATGTTTTAAAGTTCAAAAGTTCGAAGTCACATGATTTTGATCGTTTCCCTGGGAAACGGTTTTTGATCACGATTAATGTACACACATATTACACGAAAAAATTACTAGTGCGGGACAGATTTGTCTCGCAGATAACTTCTGGCAAGAAAAATTTTCGATCGTATCAATATCAATACAATAAAATAAATCCCGAAATACACATGCAAAAGTAAACGTAATTATTTATGCGAAACTGAACCACCGGGGCCAGCTTTATTGATACAGAAAAATAAAAATAAAACTAAAATATAAAAGTAAAATATACAGTAATATGTTTTTGAATGTTTGATTTTTTATTTTTTGGCTTGAAAGATGAAGAACTGGGTTAAGTTGTAACTTTTAATTTCGTTTTATCAGAATCAGATCCATCTGTGCTTTCTTCATCCAATAAAAGTTTACACATGTTGCATACAATCCCAGTTCTAAAACATCGATAATGTGTGTACTAAATGATATACATTTTCAATATTAGTATTTGATAGACTTAATGGGAATTGACGAGTGCTTGAATAAACAGCTTTTATAAGTTATATGCCAGACCCCTTAATTAAACACCAGAATTCCATTACAGTACCACAAACATTGTTGGCAAGACTGTTTAACACGTTCTTATCGTTATCTCTTCGAATTTTTGTTTTAGCGCCTATGGGAGTCTACTGAAAACCAGTTATAATTTTTTTGATATCCATTGTTGCTCATTCTTAGAATTCAGCCAGCTCGTTTCAAGATATCTAATATTTACAGTTGATTATATCATAATACAAAAATATTACATTAAAAATAGCAAAATTTATTATATTTATTAATAGTATACATTATTAAATTTTTGTTATTCGATACATATATCATACATCTAATTATTATAAGAATAACTGCCGAATAATGGAATTCATGGTAGAACTCTATTATCCTCCGTACCCCACCATTGTTAAAATGTTTCAGTCTAAACCGGTCTTTCAAATCTCATCTCAAAGTAATCACATACAAATAATCCAGAATAAATTATTATGCTTTTTTCGATCTATTCCCTAAAAATATGTGACCGAAAATCAGTATAATAATTGATCTAAGCTGATAAGTTAGAAATTATATTATAAACCCATCAAAACTGCCGACTGGTTGCCAGGCACAGTTATTGACGTTACCTTTACAAGCAGAACGGTCACCGGCTGGTTGCCAGGCATGAGCGCGTTCTGTTTGCACTTCTACCAAAACTGCCGGCTGGTTGCCAGACACAGTTTGATAGGGTTGCAAAGAGAGGTCATACTGCCTTGTTGCTAGTGTGATTATCTCTACTTTGCACGTCCATGGGTCTACCACCGGCTGTTGCCAGACGTAATAGTCATGGGTCGGAAAACTAAAATGTTGTGAGAAGAAAGTTAGTAGGGACAATTTTTGATTTTTGACATAATTTTAGTTTCGGATTCCAAACATGTGGTATTAAAAGTCCTAAGTGACTTCATTGAGATGGTGTGTTAATTTAGTACTTCCATTCTGTCTAACGAAATCAACAGGAGAAACCGTATCAAAAATAGAAACACGTTATAAAATTGATTAATGTTGCAGTTTATCTTTCCTATAAATGTGAATAAGACTATTAATCAAACCTGAAGCTTTCGTACTGTAATTTAATAATGTCATTTGAATCCACCAACATAATGTAAAAAAAAAATATGGATCGACAAAATCCAACTTGTTAAGTAAGAAAAAAAAAACTAATAGACTTTATATGATTAGCTGATAATCATGAGACAATGCATGAACTTTCGTGTAACAGTTTGGGTATACACCAAAATTCTACGACGCGTAATTTCGTTTAAATCCAGTAATCTGTCACGCCACGTTAATAGAGTTTAATGGATGACCTCAAAGAACCACGCTTAAAGAGCTCAAAGCTTTTTGATTACAAATGTTCGGACATTTTAGGCATACACAAATTCTTCACTGAAGAGTCAGCATCCAGTTGGTGTCTGAAAGTTTTGTGAATAAATTTATAGACGAAGAAACAGAACTAAATTTTGAACAAATCCAAGAGCTTTTCTTGGCCAATTTGGACCATATTAGTAACCAAAGGAGTGTTTGCGCTCCTATTCGTGCATTTTGTTTAAGTTACATTGGATGGATGCAGGTAACTATCCAGTTCTCTTGATTCATAATACCAACGGTATAAGGCTAATCCTGAGAATTATCAAGACGTGGAAGGGACAGGCCGTTTCAAATGCATGTCGCGTGTTTTTTCAGGAATGCGCAATATTAGGGAACCATTTGAGGCAAAAACGCAAGCATAAAGAAATTGCTGAGGTGAGTTATTTATTCTTTTTGGAATGCATTTTTCTCTTTTTCTGAAGTGATTATGATATTGCGCTTTTTATTAGAGCTTTGTTTCAGAAAATGCGAAATACGTGGCATTTCAAAGCGCCCTTCAAAGACCTCAAAGAGAGACACGAGCTCAGACTCCCCCGATTCAGTCTCCACCGATTCAATCTCCACGATCTCAGGCGCCAATAACACCAAATAAAAGGATGATAGAACATGAGAAAGTAAAACAGTGAGTTCGAGCTAAATATTACATTTGTCTCTATATGTTTCATTTCAACAATTTTTTTATCTTTAGGTACATCGAGTCAATCCAGATCGTGTGCGCATTTGGCACAGATATATCAGAATTGGAGAAGCTAGTAGGAAATGATTTGGTAGATGAGATATCCTCATATAAAAGTCGAATACCATCCGTTTGGACAAAAGGTTTAGAGGAATACTTTGAGAATGCGTTAGATGTAAGTTTTCATATTTCATATGAGTTGTCCAATGATTATTACCAAATTGGCTCATGATATATGCAGAAAGTGGGAAAAAATTTCAAGTTAGCAATACAAGAAGAAATAGAGGGAGGTGAAGAAAACGAAAACAAATTTAGATTATATTGTGAAAAAGTATTAATGGAATTGTAAGTGTTAAGCCATTGTTGAACATAAAAAAGGGATCACGCATAATGATATAACCTCTATATTTTTTAAGCTATAATTTAGTTGATGTTTTCCCGACACTTCCAAGAACGATCAAGGAGCGAAAATTCATTATATATCATATTTCGCCTTTGTTCATGTTCTACGAATCTACTTTTAGAACTTTGGAATTCGATTGGATAGAAGCACATGTACGATCTGCAAAGATAATGAAGGCATCAAATGATTCTGGAATCACATTAGTGGATGTCAAGGGTATACACTAAGCTTAGTGGTTGTGATTATTATTGTAACTAACCGCTGATTATAACTGCTGATTTTTTTAATACAAATACGGTATCGAAAGGAGTTCGTGTTAGTGATGACAAAGATGGAAGTTTCAGGGCCGCCAAGTAATCCTATAACTCGCCATACTGCCGACGACACCAAAAAGACACTACACACTGACATATTGAATTTGATAAATATCTTGAGAAACCATCTTGACCTCGATGTGAATATAGCAAAAAAAATTAAAGTTTTTAGCATGCAGGTTATTGGTAAGACTTTCGCTACATTGTTTTATATAAAGTCAAATCTAATTATATTCTTCTTTTTTATTATTAGCATATAGGTTAACATTGTATGCCCTTAGCATGCTGGAGGATGGCCAATTTGTTGCATATGAGTTAGCATCAGCGGAATTGCCATTCGATTTTGATTCACGGTCAAAGTATATGGCAGTTATGCGGATGATGGCCATTTTTCACGTAAGTGAAAGTGTAGATATACTTCGTAATTATTTGTATTTCCTAAATATTTACCATTTTTTAGGATGAAGTAGTCCAGCAGAAAGCAATTATGGACAAAATTGATCGTATTCTTATTCCTTGTAAAAACAAGAGTGTTCGTAATGTTTTGAGGATTCCAGAGAACTTGCGAGATTTGTGAATTTATTGATGATTTAGTACGTCACATAATAAATATATTTTGCATGTTTTAAGTAATGCTCTCAATGAAATTGTATAAACTTTTTAAATTATATTTTAAACCTGGTGGAATATATTATTTGAAAATACATGACAAATAAGCGGGACCATAGAAGACAATTGCTTCCCGCTACTCTATTTATTTGCCTATTAACTGTATATATGTTTACACGAATATTGTGAGATGAAGACGAAGCGTGAACTGAAACTTATCTGTTTTGGAAATAAAGAACTTATAACACAGGGGGGTCCCCAAAATTCCGGGTCGGGATACGTCGGAGTGCATCGGAATCATGGTTGGCTGGATCGGAATTGATCAATTTTGCCCCAAGATCATAAAAAACTTTACTAATAAATCATATCCATTCATTAAGTAAAAAATGCCCAGCTGATAATTTTGCTATAGAACCTGCTAATAACTAGGGCTAAACGCCGACCTAGATCCGACGCATCCGACCCGGAAATTTGGGGACAGCCCTGTAAAAATCTATAATTTAGGCACCCTTGAATGTGTGCCAGGTTTGTGGCGCAGATGTCCTGAACTACGAATTAGATTTCAAGATCAGGTGTAACGTAACACGATCAAGAAGATTCAAAACAAACGTTCGTTTTGTCATAGGAAACCACCTTTAGTGCTTTAACAAAAAGTTTCCGCTAGACAATTTTACTATACATACACCCCTTCCTAACTCTAACCCGAACCTTAACCCTAACATAAACGAACTTCGAAGAATTTTTGCTGCGCCATAAACCTGGCACACATTTAAGAAAAGCATAATTTAGGCCAGATGTGTCATAAGATTGACCGAATTTGGTTAGAATCTTATTTCCGACTCGAACACATGCTAATGAATATTTTTGTTATACTGTTATACGTAGATAAATTATCGTTAAGTATAAATTTAATTATTATTCAGGAACAAAATAGATTCTCAGAAAATTATCACATTCACATCGCTTATATATTCCATCCGCTACTTTTTTACATGTGTTGCAATATAGGTGTGAATGATGATTGCATTCGTCACAAATCTTACATCCGTAGTTCCACCCTCTAAAGATATGCCACTTTTCAATGTAATTTTGTTTGTTTTTACGCGTATATGCAGGTATGCTATTCTGATCTTTCATTGTAATATATTAACAGAAAAAATACAACGTTGCTAATTTTTTTTATTATACAAACCTGCAAACAAATTATAATCCCCATAAATATAATTTATTTCATGAACACATTTAAAAATCGAATAATGGCGATAGATAAAAACTTTATTAATTTTATAGCTAAGTATATTAATTATCAATATCGGTTCTGACCGCGAGGTCAGGACATGTGACCACACGTGATTGGTGCGTAGATTAGTTTTTTCGTCCCAAAATTCTAAGTATAATATTATCAATATCCTCCTGCCTTAATTTTGAAATGGTCAAAGTGCTGAAAGATTTAATTCTTTGAATTTTATCTTCTCCAATATTAATAAAAAGTGTATAAAGCTTTCACGATCTTTCTACTTTCTTCCACAGCGTAGTATCTGTAATATTGGGTATTTGTTTTCTAACTTCTTTATTAACTAGTAACAAAGAAGCATATGGGGGATTTGATTCTTGTGATGCTCAAGTCGTTCTGATAGAGCTTTACCAAAGAGATAATAGTTGGTTATAATATCCAGATTTGTAATTTCATTTTGCATTTCTGAATTAGTTATATTATTATATAAATCATTAAAACTAATAGCATTTTCTTTTCTAATTATAGGAACTTGAGTTTCAGGTTCAGTAGATAATTCTTTTATAAGATCTTCTAATATATCTGTTTTTTTTTACCACATCAGCAAAATATATAAATGTAATCTTACAAAAGTTATTACACCCTGAAAAATTCTGCAATAATTATGATCGATGCAGAATATTTCAAAATTTTTAATTACAAAATATTATGAAATCTATTATGAAATATTATGTAATTAATTACGAAATATTCGATATGATTCGAACTAATTTGAATTTATTCGAAATATGCAAAATTTGCTACTTGACTAGACAGTATTAAAAAAATATTTATAAAATAATTGAAATTAATTTGAAAAATGCGAATCTTTTCGAATTTATCAAAATTTAATTAAATAAATTTGAATTCATTTTTATTTAAATTAATTAAATGTCTAAACATATAATAAATTGAAATATATTCGTATTGTATATTTTTAGTTTTATTTCATTTATTCAAATTATTTCAAATTATACTGAATTAAAAAAAACTAAAAAACAATTTATTCAAATTTTTTTATTTAAAATTTTTAAATATATACATATAAAAAAGCTAACTAATCTTATGTTAAAGAAATATATAAAAAATAAAGAAAAAACAGCAGTATTATTCATATATAAAAAAAAAACAAACAAAATAAAAACTTTTACTCATCATTATCCGTAACTTCCTCATTATCATCTGTATCTTTTTCTAAATTATCATCATTACCCAAGGATGAAGAACCGGAAGATATAGATTTATAATTATTTTCTTCTAGTTCATTTTCACCTTCTTTATTTTCATCCAAATCTATTTGCACTAATTCAGATTGTTAAAAATATTTAGCAATTATGAAACGTAATAAATTAATTTGACTAATTTTAATATTCTTTTATTACTTACCAACTTGCAACCTTTTATTTTTCTAAAATAATTTATAAATATTAAATTATATTAAATTTTTTTAAATTTATTAATTATCAAATCTTTTCAGAATCCTTTGAATTATTTTTACATTTTCTAATAGGTTCTTAATTAAATAAAAATTATTTATTATTTTGTAAATTATTTGTGACATTTATAAATTAATATTTTATTAAATTAAAATAATTTATACTTTTTTAATTTTATCTGAATCAGATCCTTCTGATTTATCTCTTTTTTCTGTGCTTGCTTCATCTTCAGAATTTGAAACACAAAATTTGCCATCATGCTTTAATTTATTCTATATATTTCAAAACAATTCGAATTAATTTAAATTAATTAAAATTAATTAAAATCTATGTATTATAAAATATTATTAAATACTTACTAAATTTCTTGCAATTAATTTTTTAACTACAGTATCTGACATCGTTATTTTTTTGTATTTTGGGTTGAGTATTGTTTGACTTATGGCTATAGCATATGCTATATTTTCAGGTGAAGTATCTCTAGAAGGCCAAATTTTATTTAAAATTCAAGTCATATAAGTCTCATCTGAATCTCTAATCTCATCAAAAAGCATCTTGTAGCATGCTTTAGTTTTTTCTGATCTCTTCCAGTTTAGTACAGTTTTTAGTAAAGCTTTATTATTTATTGGTTCTAAAAGATTTCCAAATACAAAAAATATAGATGCTTTAATCTTATTCGTTAGTGTACCTCGCAAAGATCTAATTTTTTCCAAGAGCTTAAAATACAATAATTTAGTAAAATTTAAAATATATTAAAATAATTCGAATTATTTCGAATTATTTAAAATAATTTGAATAGGTTTGAATTATTTTAAATAATTTTAAAATAATTCGATAAAAACAAAAACATAAATTAAATTTAAAGTTTTTACTGGTCCATTAAAGTTCTTCATATAATATGCATTCCACTGTTTTTGTGAAAATTTTTGAAAATATTCTTTGTAATTAGCTCGTATATATTTTTCTACAGCTGACTTTATTTGATGTTCCTCTAGATATATTTCACTTGTGATTAATTCTTTTGCTGCTCTTTTAATTGTATCCTATTTTTAAAAATTTTTAATTAATATTAAATAATTTACTATATTATTAAAAAATAAATTTAAATTAAAATAATTACTTCTTTAAAGGTTTTTTTATTTGTAAAGTCAAAATTATTATTTAATTTCTCCTCTATTTCATTTAATCTATTTTCAATTCTTCCAACTTTATGTCTAATTTCTTTAATTTCATTAAGAATCTCTTCTTGATTTTCAATAATTTTCACTATAGATCTTATTAGTGCTGATAATTAAATATATTATAATTAATAAT